GAAAAATAAAAAAAAAAAAAAAAAAAAACTTTGAAAAAAAGGCAAAACAGAGTAGAAAAGGAAATTAGGAAGCTCCTTTTTCTGTCAAATTTGAGTTCATCTACTTGTTAGTTTTGGGATTCTTGAGGTAACCGAGCTGTTAGAAATCTCAAAGTTCAAAAGCTTAAAACAAAATCTGGATTTGCTGCTGCTGTTCCTTCCTTCACTAGCTGAACTCCATAACCATCTGTGGCTGTTATTTTTTATTCTGCTGCAGTTTAAGGTACAAGCCAGCTTTTAATTAGTGTAATCTTCATTCAATTTATAGAAACCATGAATTATAACAGGCGTTTTGTTACTATAAATGTGAATTTGTCTCTTCTTTCTCCTTAAATTCATGTGACTGTTATTGTGTTTGAGCCATGAAGTATTTGATCATAGGATTTAATTAGGAGATGTTGAAATGCTTTGCGATACTGGAATTCTGATGTGCTAACGTTGATAGAAGATCCCTGTTGTTAGGAATTTAGAGGTAAGAGGCCGAGATCTGCAGATTTGGCCACTAATTGGTCCGATTGCATTTCAGAGGGCAAATAACATAAGAATCTCAGGAAATTATGTGGTCTTCCTCCTGGGAGATCATCTATGTTTTGGCATGTGCTAGGGATTAAGTCATCTCATTTTGAGACTTAAATTTTGCTCATATGTGTAATGTATTCTCTGGAAATGCATACTGGTTAGTGCCTGCTAAACAAAACGGGAACTGAAATAGGCATGGATATATGGGTTTGGATCCATTTGAATTTGTAGTTCTAGTGAAAATCTTTGATTTTGCAGTGCTCCTTTAATTTTTTTTATTTAGTGATCAAATGTGTATAATACGTTTATTGGACGGAAATCCATGAACTATTTGGAAAGTAGTTACTTCTATTAGCTGTAATATGGGCCATGTTGTGTTCTAGAGGTAACATTCTGAAATAGGACAGTCTTAAGGGAAACGTCGCAAATGCGAAAATAGGTTCGCAAATGTGAACCATGTTCCCTTCGCAAAAGCGACAATGTTATCGCAAATGCGAACCTAGCCCAGCCCAGGTCAACTTCAAAATTGCGACCCACACATTGCAATTGTGATACATGTGATCCCTTGCTAAGGTCGCAATTGTGACCCTGGTGTTCGCAAATGCGACACCAGAGCCATCAGCACACCGGCAGCTCAAATTCAGTCCAAAACCACTCCGTGACGCGTCTGAAACTCAACCGAGCCCTCGGAGCATAGATAGATTAGTCACAAAAGGTAGTAAAATATAACTGGAAAAAATAGAATTTCAATTGTAAGTGTCTAGCACATAAGAGATCAAAATTATATATTCGTTTTAAATTTAATCTAGAACAAAAAGTAAGCTATACTTTCCTTCGCTTATAAGGCACTTTAAGTTTGTACTTTCTTTGAAATTAAAATAAAACCCAAATATGAGGAGTTAGACGGCTTTAGCACTGCGTTGCTTTGGCCACGTCAAATTGATGACATGGCATGATATAATTAGTTTGCTGAGGTCAAAGAATCAAACTTTAATGTTCCAAAAATATTTATTACATTAACCTTAACTATTATTTATACCTAATTTGGGTGAGTTCATTAAGAAAAGTAAAAGACTCCCAATTAAAATATTTTTAGTTTAAAGTTAAAAATCAAAACCTCTAACTAAAAATAAAATAAATTAATTAGTTCAATATGGATTTTCAATACAAGTGAAGAAAACATACTTCCTCCGTCTCAAATTATTTGTCGTGTTTTACCTTATACATCTCTTGAAAAAATAATACTCTCTCCGGTCCACAATAAGTGATTTTTTGGCCCTTTTTTTGTGGTCCAAAATATCTGTTTTTTCCATATTTCAAGAATGAATTAATTATTTTTTTCCTACATTACCTTGGAGTAAATAGTGTTGGAATATGTGTTAGGGGTGTTTATGTGAAGAGATAGTAAAGGTTAATATGGTCAATTTCATTGCTAATTAATGTTAAAATGTGGATTTCTTAATCTATGTGAAAATAATCAAAAAATCATTTATTGCGGGCCAGAGGGATTAATTAGAAGGAGTTTGGATTATTTTACCCTTATTTATGTCTTAAACATATAATCTCTCTTTATGAAATATTTACATTAATATTTCCATTTTCAAGAACAATTACTATTTAAGGGTAAAATAGAAAAAAAATAATTAATTTTGTATTAAATTTTTAAAATGATAAATAATTTGAGATAATTATTTTTAGAAATCATGACAAATAATTTGAGACGAGAGAATAAGAATTAAGAGGTCAAATTTATGGACGGTCAAAGTGAACTAGATAATTAAAGCCTTGGATCAAAACTTAAAATAAAGGAAGCATTTGAGATAAATTTGATAATAAAGGTAAATTCTGAGGTTATAATAGCAAATGAAATAAAGATCGATATACTTCAATAGAAAGCAAACTGTAGCCCCGATCTAAATTAGCTCCATTTTAAGCCGCCTACCTCAGCCTGGAGCTTCAGGCTGTGCGCTTCTCCGGCGATCTGAATTCACTGTGAGTCAATTCCTTCATTTCCATTTGCAGTTTTGCTAGGGCAAACAAATAGCTGAAGCTTTTTGGTGATAGATATATATAATTCATAAATTTTGAATTCATATTTGTGTGAACTGATAAATTGATCTTCAATATTGAACTCGTTTTCATTTTTAACTCGAACGGAAATATGTATGAATTTAGCAATTGCTATTCAATTTCTGCAATTTTGCACAATAGTGTTTTCTATTGAATGGGAGGATGTGTGAGCAGTGTTCGATGAATCGGAATCGCCATTTTCATTACTATATTCGGAGTACATTTTCTAAGCTCATTTTTGTGAGGATAAATATACTATTGATAATGTTCGAATAGACAATTTAGCAGTGGTTTTAAAAGTGAAAAGCGCAAAAAAGGACAACGTGAATTGATGCGCACATTTAGGGAATCAATTCATTGCTTCAAGCACAAGGCGGGCAAAAGTTGTTTTCATATTTTACAATTTGTTATCATCGTGCTAGCTTGTTTTCTGATGAATCAGAATAATTATTTTGGTATTGCACTCAGCGTAGTTTTGCTTAGTTGAACTTCTCATGACGAAAGTACTTGAAGTTGAACAAATATGTATTGTTTTGCAGTTAATGTTTGTTTTTGCAGTTTTCAACTTCTTTTTTGTCCTTGAATTGGATGCTGACATGATATTATATTTGATGAGTAATGAGTTGCACTCTAAATGGAAACGACCATTTCAGTTTTTGTTATATGTTAAGTAATTTATTAAAAATGTACCAAGGTGGTACACCAAAATACAACAACCGGTCCTTACATCCCCAAGAACTCACACAACTCTATGAACTGAGATAACCATTTCAGTAGTATATTAAAGCTTAGTTCTGCTTAACTGGACTTGTCATGATATAATGCAGAGTTGAGAAAGTTAGGTTTGAAATATATAAAATTAGCAAAATTTATTTGAGATGCGGTTTTTTTGCGTTTTGAGTTTAAGGCTGGTGTGAGCCATTTTTGGATGTATTGTATTCTAATAGGAATCACCGTTTCAGGAGTATATTTGCTAGATTCTAAGAGAATTTCAATATGGCGGCTTCTGAAGAGAACAGCGCACTTTTCCCCATCTTTGTCTTGACTTTAATGGCTCTGCCACTAGTTCCTTACACTATAGTCAATTTATTTGGTGCTTTCAAGAAAAAGGCTGCCAAAATCAACTGCCAGTGTTCGGTATGCGTTCGGTCTGGGAAGTATCATAAATCCATATTCAAGCGGGCAAGTTTCTCTATAGTCTTGTTTATAGGATTTAATATTAAAGTTAAATTCTGTAATTGAGATTTAATTTATCTTTTCTTCCGATTTTCAGATTTCAAACTTCTCTACATACAGTAATCTGACCCTTGTACTGCTGTGGGTTGTCATGGCTGTTCTTGTTTATTACATCAAACATATCAGCACTGAGGTAATTGCATGTTCTATCTAGTGCTGTCTTCAATAGTACGAATCTTGTGTTCTTAAAATGTTTACTGTTTTGTCCCCATTGGTCACATTTGTAAAGTTTTCTAATTCACATAGCATATGTTTTATTTACACAAGCAATGGGGTATTCTTTTACTGATGTCAAGTTCTCATGGTTTGTTGATAAGTTTCCTTCTCATGGTCACAAGGAGGCATTATTATTAGCACCAACCATATTAACCTTCACACAATCCTCTAGGATTCCCTTTTATTGTAGTTTGTTTTCTTATGTTTTTTTTTAATCAATGGAGATGGTGCTTGTTTGTTTAAACATTTTATTCTGTAGTTCCAAATATTCGAGCCATTCAATATTCTTGGACTAGAACATGGAGCTTCAGACTCCGAAATAAAGAAGGCATATCGAAGACTTTCCATTCAGTATCATCCTGATAAAAATCCAGATCCAGGTTGAACCCAGAGCTAGCACTGTGTGTTCACATCTAGGTATTTCTGTGACAGCTGTATTGTCAGCCACTTGAACATGACTATTTGTCTCTTTTTTGCAGAGGCGCACTCATACTTTGTTGAATACATCTCAAAGGCTTATCAGGCTCTGACAGATCCAATATCTCGGGAAAATTTTGAAAAATATGGCCATCCAGATGGACGACAGGTAATTCACTTCTATAATGGCCCTGTGGACGCGGAGGATAGGTGGACATGTAAATTTCAACATCGAATTTTCCTTTTTTTTGGTCCTAGACATGATCATGATCATTTCATTTGGGTGGGAGGAACATACTCATCTTTAATGAATCTTTTTTCTTTTTTGTGTTTCCTGCAGGGGCTTCAAATGGGCATTGCCCTCCCACAGTTCCTTTTAAACATTGATGGAGCATCCGAGGGAATATTGTTGCTTGGAATTGTTGGAGTCTGTATAATTCTGCCCTTGACAATTTCTGTTATATACTTGTCTAGGTCGTCAAAATATACTGGGAATTATGTCATGCACTCGACATTAGCCGCATATTACCACTTAATGAAGCCTTCTTTAGCTCCAAGGTATGTGAGAGTAATAGTCTATTTGGCTTTCTTTTTAAGAATACATATATTTAAGTTTGTAGATTGTTTCATAGTATTGAAAAATCACAATTGGTAGCTGAAATGTTGTTGAATCTGATATAGTTGCATTTCCGTGTTTTGGTTACTAGTTTATCTTCTTGAACCTAATAGTTTTCTTTCCCCTTCCACTATGCAATGTTCTTCGCTTTCGCAGATGATGTTGCTTTTATCTCCATTCTGTCTTTTGTAATGTTGCTTCAATGATGCAGCAAGGTCATGGATGTTTTCATTAAGGCTTCTGAATTCATGGATATTCCTGTTCGTCGGACTGATGAAGAACCTCTGCAGAGACTATTTGTCTTGGTTAGAAGTGAGCTAAATCTGGATCTTAAGAATATTCGGCAAGAACAGGCTAAGTTTTGGAAGCAGCATCCTGCATTAGTAAAGGTTAAATGCTTGCTGTCTTCGTTGTTTTCCAATCAAAAAACCTTGTTAAAGCTGTCCTTTTTTTTTAAAAAAAAAATCTAGCTAGATGTGCTTCTCTGCTTGCAGACTGAACTGTTGCTTCAAGCCCAATTGACACGTGAGACTGCAGCTTTGTCTCCAACTTTACAGCGTGATTTCAGACGTGTGCTTGAACTCGCACCTAGACTTCTGGAAGAGTTGATGAAGGTATCTCCATTCTTTCTGGTTCTAGTCATATTACTACTGTTAGTGCTGCTTTTCTTTTTGATAATGATAGTGATAAATGGACCTTGGGCCTAACTCAACCCCAAAAGCTAGCTTATGAGGTGAGGATTGCCCAAGACCATATAAGGAGACCAAGGACCTCAAATCCCACCAATATGGGACAACTCAACACCCCCATCACGCCCAGGCCTGCAAACTAGAGCGTGGACAATATAAATGGGGGCCCAACATCGGTAACAATAACTGGGATGGGCCTAGCTCTGATACCATGATAAATGGACCTTAGGCCTAACTCAACCCCAAAAACTAGCTTATGAGGTGAGGATTGCCCACCATATAAGGTATACGGAGACCAATGAGCTCAAATTCCACCAATGTGGGACAAGCTAGTGCTGTGAAAAGCAAGCGCTTCCTCGCTTAAAGCGAGAGGCGAAGCGAGGCAAGCCATCAAACGCTTCTGTTAGCTGAAGCGTAGCAGGTTTAAAAAAGCGCTCGCTTCCCATTAAAAAGCGAGAAACGACGATGCGAAGCGATGCGTAAGAAGCGAGCGCTTCTCTGTATTACAGGGCTGCCAACCTATTTAATTAAAAAAGTTGTTCTTTTTTTAAAACATCATCGACCAGCAGCAACAGTGAAAGAAAGAGGCGACCTATGGTTCAATTTTTCTACACTTTTCAACTTCAAGATCATCAAGTTTGGTCCAGGTATGTGATTTCTTCTTCCTCCTCCCAGGGTTGTGAAAAGCGGTCGCTTCCTCGCTTGAAGCGAGAAGCGAAGCGACCCTTTACCCGCTTCTGCTATATGAAGCGACTCAGGTAGACAAAAGCGTGCGCTTTCCACTAAAAAGCGAGGAGCGACAAAGCAAAGCGAAGCGACCGAAGCGAGCGCTATTTTAAACAGCTGCCAGCCTATTTAATTAAAAAAGAAAGGTGTTCAGTGTTCTTTTATTAAAACACGACCAACAACAACAGTGAAATAAAGAGGCGACCTAGGGTTCAATTTTTCTACACTTTTCAACTTCAAGATCATCAAGTTTGGTCCATGTATGTGATTTCTTCTTCCTCCTCCCAGGGTTGTGAAAAGGGGTCGCTTCCTCGCTTAAAGCGAGAAGCGAAGCGACCCTTTACCCGCTTCTGCTATATGAAGCGACTCAGGTAGACAAAAGCGTGCGCTTCCCACTAAAAAGCGAGAAGCGACGAAGCGAAGCGAAGCGACCGAAGCGAGCGCTTCTCTGTTTTAAACACTGCCAGCCTATTTAATTTAAAAAGAAAGGTGTTAAGTGTTCTTTTATTAAAACACGACCAGCAGCAACAGAGATTCCAAAGAGGCGACTAGGGTTCCCTTTTCAACTTAACCAGAGATTCAACAGCAACATGTATGTGATGATTTCTGTTTCAGCGTCCAAATAGCAGCGAAATGCTGGCGAATTTTTTTTTTTACCTTCGGTTCTTTCTCAGTCTTCTCCTCTTCGTTGAAATGCCGCCCAGTTCTTCTTACATTGTTTTTATGCTGCCCAGTTTTTAACAGAATGGTATACTACCCTTCCTCTTGTTTTTATATCCTTTATTCTTAGTTCTAATTGCCTTTCTTATGTTTTATGTAGTTGTTCTTTTAATGACAATCTTGTAGAAGAATAGGATGCTCATTTTGTGCTTTAATTGATGCTACTCTTTAGTTTTTACATAGAAGTATTGAACATTTGCTTACATATATGTGTTGTCTATGCGGTATTTAATTTAATAATTTTTTTTTAAAATTCTGCTTCATTCAGAAAAGCGAGCGCTTCGCTTCTCGCTTTAAGCGAAATGGGGGTTGTCGCTTTTCCTCGCTTCACGCTCTTCACAACACTGCCTCCTCCTCCTTCTTCTTCTTCTTTCACCGTTTCAGCGTCCAAATAGCAGCGAAATGTTGGCAAGTTTTTTTTCCTTTCTCTTCTTTCTCATTCTTCTCCTCTTCTTCTTCTTTTTCATTTTCTTCCACCGTTTTTTCGTTTTAAGCTCACAGAGGAAGGGAAAAGAAGCAACTACTCTGTCCCTAGTTGATGAAGAAGAAAAAGACGGCGAGCAATATTATAATGATAATGGAATACAAGAATTTGACAATCTTGTAGAAGAATAGGATGCTCATTTTGTGCTTTAGTTGATGCTGCTCTTTAGTTTTTATATTGAAGTATTGACCATTTGCTTACAGTTACATGTGTTGCATTGTCTATGCAGTATTTATTTTAATATTGTTTTTTTAAATTTCGCTGCTTCACTTCTCGCTTCTCGCTTTAAGCGAAAAGGGGCTTGTCACTTTTCCTCGCTTCATACTCTTCACAACACTGGGGACAACTCAACAGATAGTGTTAGTGCTGTTTAGTTTACTGTAGTTCTTGTCACAAGATGGAACATTTCTGAGGGATTTAATTGTCACTGGCATGGTGTAGGTGGTAACTATCATTAGGAAAGGAATTTTTTTACTAATAAGGTCGGAAGTATATATAGGAGGATGAGCTGTCTTAAGCCTAACATGATATGAGTTGCTGTGGTAACACAAGGAATTTGTCTTATTGCATGCAGATGGCTATTATTCCACGCCCTCCCGTGGGGCATGGATGGCTAAGACCTGCAATAGGAGTGGTGGAACTGTCTCAGAGTGTTGTTCAGGTTAGTTTTCCAGAAAGCCAGTACTTTTCTGAAAGATCAGCACTAGTTTCTACATCTGTTGTGTGGAGCCATGCTTATCCCTTCTCATCACATATTTCTTATCATTTTCTTATCTCTTTTCCCTTCTTCCAGCACAAGGTAAGAAAAGTAACTTTTTTCCGTGATAACTATTGAATTTCATGTTGTATACCTCAACTTCCAGCATTTTGACTGTCGTCATCGCCTGTCTGTTCTACATTTATATCTGAAACTTAAAGTATTTGCATCATATTATCTGAAGACATAATCATAGATACATCATTGATACGGGCAATACTGCTTATTTTTTGTTCTGTTACATACTGTTAAGATTCATGTATTAAGATGAATGTTTTGTCAACATTTTATTTTTGTCAGTTGTTTTGATGAATTATTATGCTCAGATTTGGACTTCCAACAGTTATTTGTTTAGGAGTTGGTATTCATTTTTTTCCATTTTTGAAAGGTTTATGACCTAGAAAGTCCCAATATTCTACTCAAATTCATTTACCCACATTGCAGGCACAATTGGTTCTCTTTCCTACTCTCATTTCTGACGCATTTTGCTGTTAATGATTCAGGCGGTACCTCTCACTGCAAGGAAAGCAGCAGGTGGATCCAGTGAAGGGTATGCACCGTTCTTGCAGCTGCCACACTTTAGTGAGGCTGTGGTAAAAAAGATTGCAAGAAAGGTTGCAATTATTGCTTTTAATCTGTTCTCAAACTTCCTAAACACATCTGCTGAATGTTGGATTGGTGCTCATGATAAATTATGAATCAACGTGCTTTTGTGTCTCTGATTGGTTCCTTGGTGGAGTTGGGGGAAGTATGTGCATTACTCATCTTGTTTTATATCTTAGTTTAATTAATAGTTAGACTAAGGAAATTGTCCCTAGAAATGATACTTGATAACCAAAAAAAGACAAGAGAACTGTCTCTAGAAAGCTTATTTATCACATTTTCTGGTCTTGGTATTAGCGGGCTGTGCTATCCGTATAATCCCGGCTCAAAATGAGGTGTTGCGTTGTGACAAGCCAAATTCCGTAAACATTAAAATGAAAAAACACCAGCCTTTGAGTGTACAGGGATGTTATATAACTTGATTTTCCATTACAGCGGAGTGGCTGCAGTAACTGCTTACCTAAACTCATCTCTCCTAGTATATATAGTGACATGATGTTATTAAAGTAGTACGTTGGTTTATTTACAATCTTTTGATCTGGGATAAATATAACTCTCCTCAATATTATTTATCAGGAAAAAAATACTTTTTACTCAATAATGACTGAAATGTTAGTTATATGGTAGTTACTTCATGACTTACTCCATATCATGAAATATGCTTCGCTTGATTTTTGTGATCTAGCGGCGTTTCATTTATTTTGAGTTCACTTCTACATTTTAAACATGTTACAAATTTACACCTTTTAATAGTTAATGTTTGATACTTGCTTTGAGTGTGTCACGGTGGCTACCTATATAGTGCATGCGTTCAGTGGGAAGTCTAGTGACATCTCTATTCAGTTTCTTCTTCTTTCTTTATTTCCTTGTGCAAAATCTGAGTATTGGTGGGAACTTGATTCACATTAATGGGAAAATGAAAATCATAATTTTATAAGGACTTTTAGTATTACCTGGACCATTTTCCTTTGGTG